ATGGCACCTGACAACAACAACAACAATGTCGTATGGAAGCTCTACATCCTTTTCCGCCACTCATCTGTCAGTTTGTCGTACTGTGGTGGCTTGTGAGTTGCTGTGATTCTGGAAGCTATGCCACCTGTATTTTAAATACCAGTAGGGTCACCCATGGTAGACAGGTTTCAGATGAGCTTCCAGAAGAAGACACAATAGGAAGAAGACATGATGAACTACTTCCAAATATTTAGTCACTAAAAACCTTATGAATAAGCTGGGGACTTGAGATCCAGAGAGGGAGAAGGGCTGTGTACTGAAGACCAGGGGAGTGTGGGGGCAGGCTTGCAGGGTATACCCTTTGGTTGGTTGATGATGCATGAAGGGGATTGTAACCATGGCAATGAAACGATATACGATAAAATTAATGTAAAACTAATATTCTCCCATGTAAACTATCACATAATTCACAATAAAACATTTAAACAACAACAACAAAACACAGCAGAGAAACGCTGTCAGATATAGTGCCAGAAAATGAGCCCCTCAGCTTGGCAGGCACTCAAAATGTGACTGGGGAAGAGCTGACTCCTCAGAGTAGAGTTGACCGTGATGACTTGAATGGAGTAAAGGCCATGGGAGAAAAGCCCATGGGACCTTCATTTGCTGATGGGGCACAACTCAAAATGAAGAGAAACAGCTGTAAACATCCATTGAAAATCGGAACATGGAATGTATTAAGTAATGAATCTAGGAAAATTGGAAGTTGTCAAAAATGAAATGGAACACATAAACATTGATATATTAGGCATTAGTGAGCTGAAATGGAATGGTATTTTGCATATGATAACCACATGGTTTTCTATGCCGGGAATGACAAATTGAAAAAGAATGATGTTGCGTTCATTGTCAAAAAGACCATATCCAGATCAGTCATGAGGTACGGTGCTGTCTGTGATAGGATAATATCCATGTGCCTACAGGGAAGCCCAGTTCATACCACTGTTATTCAAATTTATGCACCAACCTAAAGCCAGTGAGGATGAAATAGAAGAATTCTACCGACATTCAATTTGAAATTGATCAAACATGCAATCAAGATGCATTGATCATTACTAGTGATTGGAATGCAAAGTTTCGGAGCAAAGAGGAAGGATCAATAGTTGGAAAATATGGCCTTGGTAATAGAAATGATGCTGGAGATTGCATGATAAAATTCTGCAAAATCAATGATTTGTTCATTTCAAATACCTTCTTTAGACAGCATAAGAGATGACTATACACATGGACCTCAACAAATGGAATACATAGAAATCATACTGACTACATCTGTTGAAAGAGACGATGGAAAAGCTCCATAACATCAATCAAAGCAAGGCCAGGGGCAGACTGTGGAACAGACCATCAATTACTCATATGCAAATTCAAACTGAAACTGAAGAAAATATAAAAAGTCCACGAAAGCCAAAATATGACCTTGAATTTATCCCACCTGAATTTAGAGATCATCTAAAAAACAGATTCGCTACATTAAACACTAAAGACTGAAGACCAGAATAGTTGTGGGATGACATCAAGAACATTATACAGGAAGAAAGTAAAAAAAATTATTAAGAAGACAAGAAAGAAGGAAAAGGTCAAAATGGATGTCATAAGAGACACTGAAACTTGCTCTCCAGCATGGAAATGCTAAAGCAAATGGAAGAAATGAGGAGATACAAGAGTTGAGCAGAAAATTGCAAAGGTCAGCTCAAGAAGATAAAGCCAAAGATTTTACAACAAAATGGAGTTCGAAAACCTAAAGG